TTAAAAAGGGCCCTTGTATGCTTTCCAATTCAACAAAACCTTGGAAACTAATTATCTAAAGGGGTTTGCTATTCTATCGGACATAAAAGTAATTTGTCAACAGCAATAGGGGATGGGATCAAATTTGATGTGGGGGGAGAGCTAAGCAAAAGAAAAATCCAAATCTGAAAATAGTAAGAGGCTGCTTTGTAGGAAGTAAAATTTCCCAGGGCCTGTCTTTAGGGTGGACAATTGGGGTAACAGCTGGAATGATTGCCGACTCCTTATTCTAAGCCCTGCTCCTACTCACATGACCCAGGACAGTGCATCTCTGACTTGTCCCGTATTTACGAGCAGGGAGAACTTTCAGCGATCCGCATACCAGACAAACGGGGAGCACAAATGCAGGTGCGCAGAGTCAGGAAACACACCAGCCCATGGGAAGGAAAAGCATGCAGCGCAGCGGGAGCCCTGGGGGCGCTGTGGTTAGAATGCAGCATTGCAGGCTGACTCTGCCCACTGCTAGGTGTTCAATCCTGATGGAGCTCAAGGTTGACTCAGGCTTCCATCCTTCCGAGGTTGGTAAAATGAGGACCCAGATTACTTGCACTGTAAACCATCCAGAGAGTGGTATAAAACACTATGGAACGGTATGAAAGTCTAAGTCCGTGGTGGCGAACCTATGGCACACGTGCCACAGGGGACACGCAGAGCCCTCTGTGGGCACGCGTGCTGTTGCCCCAGTCCTAGGCCTTCAACTGGGTTTTATAAAACCTTTTCGCTTTAGGCCTCCGCCGCCGTGTGGGGGGGAAAAAAAGGTTCAATCAATCAATTTCAACTTCTTGCAAGAAAAAGATCTTGCAAAGTTGGAATTGATTGAACTTTTTAGTCCCACCCAGTCTGCCATTACCACTGCAGCCACACCCACCCAATGGGCCACATCCACCCGGCACCCGACAATACATAAGTGGGTTTTGGGTTGCAAGTTTGGGCACTCGGTCTCTAAAAGGTTCGCCATCACTGGTCTAAGTGCTGTTGCCATTACACATGTAGATCCAGAGAGGTTGTTGTTGTTAATTGCGAAGTCGTGTCCGTCCCATCGCGACCCCATGGACAACGTTCCTCCAGGTCTTCCTGTCCTCTACCATCTTCTGGAGTCCATTGAAGCTCACACCTACTGCTTCAGTGACCCCATCCAGCCATCTCATTCTCTGTCGTCCCGTTCTTCTCTGGCCCTCTGTCTTTCCCAGCATCAGGCTCTTCTCCAGTGAGTCCTTCCTTCTCATTAGGTGGCCAAAGTACTTGAGTTTCAACTTCAGAATCTGGCTTTCTAAAGAGCAGTCAGGGTTGATCTCCTCTAGGACTGACCGGTTTGATCGCCTTGAAGTCCAGGGGACTTGCAGGAGTCTTCTCCAGCACCATAGTTCAAAGGCCTCCATTCTTTGCCGCTCAGCCTTTCTTATGATCCAACTTTCACAGCCATACATTGCAACTGGGAAAACCATCCAGAGAGATAGTAAATAGAAATTCCATCATAAGGTTTGAGAGGAGCTGGATTCCAAGAAGAACCTGGCTAGGTTTTACTTAACGCAAAATAATAGGGGAAAAGATCTTTCCCAGGGCAATAAATACCTAATTATCATTAGATACAATTACTCCAAAGGGCAAAGCTTTATTGATAGGAGACTGCATTGAAAGATTTCTGAAATCAGTAAGAGCTCCAGGGGAGATTTCAGCATGTCATGGATGCTGGTAGAGTTGTGCAGGTTTCCAGCAACTACAGTATAAACCACTCAGGTATTTATTACCAGTGGATTCCATTCTGTCCATGAAGAGATCTTTGTAGGGACATTTTAAGGTTTTATTTTCAGCATGTAGCTTCCTTTTAACTATTACAAGCTTCCCCCCTCCCTGCCACATGTTCATACACTTATGTAGAAACTGTATTGTACCCCTCTGAATCCTTTTGAAGGTACAAGAAGAAAGCATCCTTACTAAGATGAAAATAAAACAAGTCTAAAGAAAGCAAAAGTTGTAATGTTAAAAAATATATACTGGGAAAACAAGCATGTTCAGAGCCACCTGTGAAGGGGTTTGTTTCCAGTGGAAATTTATTCTGTAATATTGGGATTAATCAATGCCAAAACAAGACATTTAGAAGGGAGAGTAGCCCATCCAATGTTGCTGCACGAGTCATGATGGAGAAAGTACTGCTCTGATAAATATTCGCACCTAAGGGCATTGCAAAAGACATTTAGTTGGCAAATGTGAAATTTGTACGAGAACATTAAGGCCCTTTGTTGATAGATGGAAATGGGATCTGCCTCCCAGAAGACCATTAAAACCATGATGGCTCCTTGGTGCTCTCTGAGCTTGCTTGTTTTCTTGCAGATGTTTCATTACTCAAACTAGGTAACGTCAGTGCTAGCGATGAAAAGTCACTCGGCACTTGAACAAGCACGTGGTCACCGCTAAAAAGTGCACAAATGTATTAAAGACTCCAAATCACAGCTGCCAATTCTTTGGCTGGTGTTGCTGTCATACACATCAAGTCCTTCCCAAGAACCTGGGATGTCATAATGCAGGGGTCTCCAAGACTCCTGTTGTAATGTATCGGCATAGATTCACTGCACCTTCGAAAGCAAACTGTTCATTTCCAGATGTTCATGTCAATGTTATTTTATTTCTACTGGAAATCTACTTCTCAAAAATCATTAAAACATGGAAACTCTTTTCATTAGCTCTACTTCCTAAGTTAACAAATTCATAGCATTTACCCTTTAATTTACACCAAAGACAACCCCTTTGCTAAAATTGGTTCATTAACAGAAATGGCCTCTCCACTGAAATACTGCTTTTTAGGATTTGAGGATCATCTGAAAAGTTTTTTTTTTTTTTTTAAATGTTGGCTGAAAAATAACCAAGAAGAAAATCAGCGTCTCCAAAAACAGAAGTGGGCAGGGGGTCTAAAGTAACTCACCGGGGCCAACTCGCCATGGGACAAGATTTGCAGTAATATTGAAGGAATGGTTGCAAAAGAAGGGACAAAGTGTTAGGTGAATGACAAAACATAATGTTTTAATTATTTTAAATGATTAAATTGAATTGTTGGATTGTCCTGCAGCGAGTTGTCCCATTCTGGTAGACAGGGCCCCTTTCAGACTATGAATGATTGAGGACAGAATGTTAAGGTGAGATGTGAAAGTCCATTCACTGTGTCCTTCCTTCTCTCTCTCTCTCTCTCTCTCTCTCTCTCCTTAAACCAGTGGTTCTCAACCTGTGGGTCGGGACCCCATTTGGGGTTAAACGACCATTTCACGGGGGTCGCCAAACAATGCAGTCCACCATTTTTTCCCCCTTTTCCTTAGCTGTGCTACTCCCTTTTATTCTATTGGCTTTTGAAAGCCAATAGAAGAGACTCTCTTGAATAGAGTCTAATTCTATTGGCTTTCCAAAGCCAATAGGAATTGTCCAAGCTGTCTCTGCCCTGCTGAGCCCACCGAAAGTCCCATTCTGCAAACGGTGCTGCACCAGTTGAGTAGTCCTCGACTTATGACCGGTTGAGTAGTCCTCAACTTACGACCGGTTGGGGGTCGCGGCATTAAAAAGGTTGAGAACCACTGTTCTAGACGTATCTGCTGGGAATTGTAGTCCTTGTGCCCCAGATAGCCAACACCCAGGGAATATGGTTTTGAAGCACAAGTAAGGCACTGCCAACTACACAAAATACTAAAGGTTTGGCTTTGGATCGGCCCTACTGTTCAAACAGATCCTTCCATCGTCTCACACCTATATTTGTCCTCCCGTGCCTACATTTTTCTTTTAAAAAACTTTTTTTTTTTTAAAGAGAAGCCAACTAAATCCAGCAGGAGAATCCTGGGTGAGGCTCGTGGCCGCTCTTAAGCCATACTTGACAGTCCTGCTTTAGTCTTTATCGTGAGGTCTTGAGGATGTCCTTTGGGAGCAATCGGATGCTTGAGTTTCCTGAAGTCCAGCATCCCAGTGCAATCTCCAAAACTGGAGCTGGTCCACTCTTGCCTTAAACCAGTGGTTCTCAACCTGTGGGTTGGACTCTTGAATAGAGTCCAATTCTATTGGCTTTCAAAAGCCAACAGGAATTGTCCAGGCTGTCTCTGCCCTGCTGAGCCCGCCAAAAGTCCCATTCTGCAAACGGTGCTGCACCAGTTGAGTAGTCCTTGACTTACGACCGGTTGAGTAGTCCTCGACTTACGACCGGTTGGGGGTCGCGGCATTAAAAAGGTTGAGAACCACTGCCTTAAACAGATGTTGACCTGCATTCTGCGCCAGAGACACACGGCCTCTCGGTTGGTGATGGTGAAAGCAGACAAACAACGGCAACCCTCTGGAAGCATCCTTTGCATTTTCAGGTCAGCCTCTGGATGCAGCTGCGGCCTCTTCCCACCGCCTTGGACAAAATCCAGCCCTGGCAGCTGGCCAGGAGGGACGAAGAAGCGCCAGGCACTGCACCAGGCGCAGACTTCCAGGCTAGCGTTTTTCTCCAAAGTTCATCGCAGAATACATGTTGGCAGCCCAGCCGCTGCCTGGGAAACCCGAACTAGACGCAAGGGGAGCTGGCTGGAGAACTCACCTTTATTTTGCAGAGCCTGGGAGCTGGGCGAAGCAACCAGATGGGGTTGGAAGCATCCAAAATCTAGGAGGCTTTTTCCAAGGCGCCCAGGATTTGGGGGGGGTGGTAGGCTGAAGCGGGAGCGAAAAGAGCGCAGTTCAACCCAATCCGTTCGCCTCCCTTACGCACAGTCCCTTGAATGCTGCTTCTCCGTTAAGGACCGTTGCAATTCATGGGGGGGGGGAAAGAGGTGGGGGGCTTAGGAAGCCAGTGGCCTGCCTTCCTCAACATGAAGAGGGGTCCTGTTGAATCCTGAAGCCCCCCTCCCCACCTCCCCGTGAGTGGGGGTCTTATCCGCGGAGTCCTGTTCGGCGGGGGTGGGGTGGGGGGATTTGAGAAGGGGGGGGGTGTCTGGCCGCGCAGCCTCCCCCAGCCCCATCTCACAGAGGCTCGCTCTCCCCGCTGCTGCTGCGCTCGCCCGGGCTGGCGGGGACCCCCTTCCCCGCCGCCCAGTCGCTCTCGATGTAGAGGTGGTAGGGGTCGTGCTTGGACTCCAACTTGCGCGAGCGCGTGTAAGCCAGGATCAGCCCGCCGGCCAGACAGCCGTAGAAGATCATGATCAGCAGGATGTACAGGTAGGCGTCGTCCTCGCCCGGCGGGCGCGCGGAGGGCCTGGGAGAAGCGCTGGGGCCGGGACCCCCGCCGCCCTCGCCGCGCAGCTCCTGCCACAGCCGGTCCAGGAGGAGCTGCAGCCGCCGGCTCTCGCTGCAGTTCGCCCCCGGCTCTTGCATGGCTCCGCTGCGCGCCCGGGGCTCCTTCCCTCTAGCCTGCCGGGCGCCGGGCAGAGAGACAAAGGCTGCAGCTGCTGCGCTTGCCGGCTTTGCAAGGGGCCGGGGGAGCCTCCTCCTCCCCCCCCCCCGGGTTAAGAGAGGGCGTGGGGGGGGGGGTCGAGCCAGGCTTTCTCCGCCTCCCGGAGGCGCCTTTGTTCCTTAATGGGAAATCCTGAAACCTGAGCTAGTTTGGGAGGGATCCTGGCCCTGCCCCCCACCCCCCCACCCAGCCCCCCACCCAGGAACTGGAAGGAAAGCTGGGGACCCGCTTGAATGGCCAGGAGCGGAAGGGAGCCCTCTGGGCTGGGCTTGTCCTGGGAAGTGGGGGGGGGGTCTCGGTGGGAGTCTCAAGCCGCGCTGCAGTCGCGGTTTCTCCCGGACTGGGAGCAGCTGCTGGCCTCGTCCCTCAAGCCTCTTGGACCCTGGTGGAGCGTTTTCAGGGAGGGCACAGCCTTTCGCATCGCCTGGCCGATCTAAAGAAACAAGCAGGGTTTGGTCGTGGCTGAGCTGGATTGAGGAACTGTGCAGAAACTCCAGCTCTGATTGATTTGTTGTTGTTAATTGCGACGTCGTGTCTGACCCATGGACAACGTTCCTACAGGTCTTCCTGTCCTCTACCATCTTCTGGAGTCCATTGAAGCTCACGCCTCCTCCTTCAGTGACTCCATCCAGCCACCTCCTTCTCTGTCGTCCCCTTCTTCTCTTGCCCTCCATCTTTCCCAGCATTAGGCTCTTCTCCAGTGAGTCCTTCCTTCTCATTAGGTGGCCAAAGTCCTTGAGTTTCAACTTCAGGATCTGGCCTTCTAAAGAGCAGTCGGGGTTGATCTCCTCCAGGACTGACCGGTTGGATCGCCTTGCAGTCCAGGGGACTCGCAGGAGTCTTCTCCAGCACCAGAGTTCAAAGGCCTCAGTTCTTTGGCGCTCAGCCTTTCTTGTGGTCCAACTTTCACAGCCATACATTGCAATTGGGAAAACCATGGCCTTGACTGTACACACTTTTGTTGGCAGAGTGATGTCTCTGCTTTTTAGTATGCTGTCTAAATTTGCCATAGATTGGATTAGATTAGATGCCACCAAAGGTGGCTCTTGATTTTTAGGGGCCACGTCGATTTTCTCCACGAGGATCAAACCTTCAGGTCTGCCAAGGGTGCGTTCACTTGCTGAGCCCATCCCCCTTTGCCGCAGGTGGTCCTTTTCTTCTCTTTCCTTCTCCAGCCTCGGAGCCTCCTCCAGATATTTGGACCTTTGCATCATGTGTCCAAAGTAGGATAATTTGAGCCGGGTCATTTGGGCCTCAAGTGAGGAGTCTGGGTTGATTTGTCTGATGATCTCGTCTATTCCTTTGCATGATTAGGCCATGAAGACTCCACCTTCTGAGAAGTGCCTGGGGTGTTTTTAAAATCAACACAAGTGCTGTGGGTTTTGGGTCTTAGTTCTTCCGTTACAAGAAAGCTGGAAACATTCTTCCCCAGACACCTAAGATTTCTTTAGGAAGATGCTGATCTTGTATTTAACTGGTAGCTGCCATTTTTATTTTGGGCTTTTATTTATTTTTGTAAAACTGCCCAGAGTTCTTTGGATTGGAATGGCAAATACGATAAAAGATCGTGTTGGAAAGTAAGGCTTAACTGATTCTTCAGTACTGTTTTTATCGTAACTCTTCAAGTGGAGTTCCTGAATTTGGCATTCTTGTCTTTATTTCCCAGGACCTGATGTGGCCATTTACTAAGATCTTGTTCTTAGAATTTTAATTTAGTGGCAGTTATGGGTTTTATGCAGGCCAAAGTTGCATAGTGCAGGGGTCCCCAACCCCGGTCTGTGAACCAATACTGGTCCGTGGCATGCCAGCAACCGGTCCACACAAACAAAGCCCCATCTGTGGGATGCAGACAGCACACAAAACCATGCCCACTCCAGTCTGTGGAAAAACCTTTCTCCACCGAACTGATCCCTGGTGCCCAAAAGGTTGGGGACCTCTGGCATAGTGTGTCCACTTCAGCATTTTTTAAGATAGTAAATGCTATTAAACGTGGTAAGGATTTCTCTTCACACTTATCTGTTTTATTGATAGCCATCAAACTTACGTTGGGGCTGTTTCACATACTGCGTATCTTGTCATGGTTAAGATGGGGACCTACAGACCAGCTCTGGCACAGGGATATTGAGAGATGTAGGTCTAATAAAACCAGAGAGGAATAAAAGTTGGAGATGGCTGCCTGAAGTTGAGAAACAACGCAGGAAGAGCCAAGTAGGGGGTTGGACTAGATGACCTCCAAAGTCCCTTCCAACTTTATCATTATTATGGATGACATTACTCTTCAACAGAAAATAGTGGCTTTCATTTTACAGATGTAAATGTGTAATATCCCCATATTTTCTTTAGGAAACCTTTTTTTTTTTTCCCCTGGATGTCAGTGAGTAGAAGGGAGCTGGATTTTTTAGAGCACACGATCAAAGAAAAACAGGTCCGCTTGATCTGCTCTCCATCAACCAGTTCAGAGTTGTCCACTCAAAACAAAACCCAGAATGACCAAAAAAGGCTCATTATTTCTTGAGCCAAATCAAGATACACAATTGTGCGTTTTTATTTTGTCCGGCTTCCAAAACAGCAACCGAGCCTGAAGCGGTTTCCACATTGGGTGATGAAGATGGATGATGGTTTGATGCCACAATCTGCTCAGCAGACTTCTGGGTATTTTTCAACTCCGGATGCCTTAGGTGCAGACAGGATTGCGTTATTAGCTGTACACTTTAGAGAGGAGACCTTGTTTACAGCAAAAATTAAGAGAGGTAAGCCAAGGACATGTTGACAAAAGTTGAAGGAAAGCAGGGATACTTTATAGATGCTTCAGGCAAAGTTCTTTGGGAGGACTGAGGCCTCGGAAACATTAAATACTCTCATTTCCACCTTTATTTTTATTCCAAAATTGCGCTGCTGAAAACTCAATGCTGCCATTTTCCACAGAACAATTAGAGAGAGCTTTAAAAGCCCTTGAGTTATTTTTCTTCTTTGGTGAATTAAAAGGTATGAGCCGTCCCTTAGATCAGAGCTTTTCAATCTTTTCACCCATTGTGCCACTTTTAGGATATGGCAACATCCGAGTACCACCAGTCACCTAGCAAAGGGTCAAAAACTTGATGACCAAAAAAAAAAAAAAACCAAAAAAAAAAAGGAAAAAAGTGATAAAGTACAGATAGTCCTCAACTTACAACAGTTCGCTTAGTGACTGTTCGAAGTGACAATGGCACTGAAAAAAGTGTCCCCCAAGGCACAGCCGAGCAAGACACCTGCCTGCCCACCTGGCGATGCTCTTCCTCCTGTCCAAGGTTTTCATTGTTATAAGCATTTCTGTTGGGGATTGGCAGGAGTGGTGGGGTGGGGGGGGTGTTTGGTTTTTATTCCCCTCCGCCTGCTGGTGGTTGCAGCAGGTTTTGGTCACTTCCCATGACCCTGGGACACTGTGACTGTCATAAATATGAATCAGTTGCCAAGCATCTGAATGTAAATCACAAGACCCTGGAGAGGCTGCAACATTCCAACTAATCGACGCTTCTTCTGGGCTCAGCAGAAGCACCAGGATCAGCGCCGAGCTCCAGCTGGAGCCTGGCGCTGATCCTGGTATTTCCACTGAGCCCTGACAGCCCCAAAGAAGTGCTGATCAGCTGGAAAGCGGCACTGATCCTGGTGCTTCTGCTGAGCCGACGGCCCTGCAGCTCCAGCCATCTCTCGTTCAGGCTTGTGTGGTGCTGCCACCGGTTCAGCCCATTCCCCTCCCCCGCTACCACTTTTCTAGGGTGGTCACGTAACCACCTGCCAGGTGCCAATGTACCACAGGTGGTACCCGTACCACTGGCTGAAAAGCCCTGCCTTAGATGGCTCCAGAAAGTAAGTTCTGTGCAAATGGGCAGATTAAACTTTCGTTAGGTTTTCAATCAAAATATCTTTCTACATTAGAGTTTCACCATCTGAATGAGCTTATTTGGCAGGGGAAAAAAAACTCCTAGAGCATTTGTTGTTTCTGTAAATAAGGGTTTGTGTTTGTGCTCTTAAGAGGCGTTTTCCTGGGCCCCTGATTATATTTACTTGCTGTTTAACCAAACTGTTTTGAATGTTTCTATTTTCAGTCAATAGGAGGGGATAAGCATGCCCAGAAGCTATGTGAAAAATATTCCCCACGGCTTAAAAATTGGTCCACACGCACAGCCGATTCTGATCAGGCAGTAAGAATAACCAGGATTTAATAATCGGTTGTTGCTCTAGAAACTGGCTCGCCGGCACATATACCTGGCAAAATGAAAAATTTCCCCAACTTGTGCTTTAAAATCGTTGTGTATTGGACATCATATACAAAACTCCTTCACTCTCCAAACAATATCCAATTATTTTTCTTTTTTTTTTTAACCATAATATACACATTAAAATATAATGAATAAAAGAAAATCTATTTTATAAATACTTTGGAGCCACCAAAAGGTTAACACAATGCAACCGAGAGCCACATCTGTACAAAAATGGAAGCCACATACAGAAACGGATCAAAAGTGCACAGGAGAACAGCATCCCATCATTGCCACGTTCTTCTCGGTTTTTTTGTTTCAAGTGTGAACTACTAGTAGGAATAGAGAAGCCCAGTGCACAAAAGACAAACTGTGGAATAATGCACACACCAATGCAGAGGAGACTGCTGCTCCCTCCCACTCTCTGTACATCGAGAATTTCCAGTTTTTAAATAAAAAATAGCAGACAGAAAGTTTTCCCTTTGCAAGCACTTTAAAACACAACATTCCCGAGGCCACGTCCATCACTCGCATAGAAGAGAAATTCGTTTTAAGATTTTGTTTTATGTGATAGAGTCAAAACATAAATTAAAATGCCCTTTTAAAATAAAAAAAACAACAACCAACAATAACCAAATATTTTATCTGTGGTGTGGGTGTGCTTAGAGGAAGCGGCGCATATATCCCAAAAAGCAGGACACACTCTGCAAAAGCAGACAGGATGTAGACTAGCCACGGGACTTGTTTTGTTCCACCGATGTATTTTTTTTTTTTTTAAAGGTAGTAAGTGCAAATAGATAAATGATCGCAAAAGAGGCCGGCATAATCGTTGACAGTAATGCCGGCATTCTTCGTACAAGCCAAACTGATGCCAGACATGGCCAAAATCATCTGCTTGTCTTCTTACAAAAGACAGCTTGAAATGTTTTGATTGGAATGTCTTAATTTACCTCTGCTCAGCCGTGAGGATAATTTTTTTCTTTCTTTCTTTCTTTCTTTCTTTCTTTCTTTCTTTCTTTCTTTCTTTCTTTCTTTGGCACTCTAAACATTTCATACTACCAGCCATCTCTTTCCTCTTTCCTTGTGGAACACAACAATTTGAGAGAGAAAAAAGATAAATAAATATGAAGAAAATCCATCTGGGCTCACCAAGTGGCAGTGAAAGCAGGAATTTTTTCCCTTCTTTTTTTCAATGCAGCAGCAAATGTGACTTTTACAAGTACCAGGGGTGTCCCCTTGAGCAGTGGAAACTACGGCCAACGGCGCCTTTTTGTGGAATGAGCAATAAAAAAAAAAACAAAAATCAGAAAATGCAGGAATAATTTCATGGCAGAGACGGGGGCGGGATGGTGCCGCTGAGCACTGAACTGCGGAAAGGGAAGGAACAACTTGGCCCGTGGTGCAAGAACCCCATCGGGCGTCATTTGTGGCGTTGGAATGTCAGTTTACGGCTGGGTGAGAGTACCGTTTTCACAAGAGAAGTCTCGCCTCATCTTTTCTGTGCCACCAACGACAATCGCCTTCAAACGAGCCATTTCGCAAAGGACCTGAGAGAGCCATTTCCGGAGCAGCGTTCTGGAGAGGCTCGGCTGTGCCCAACCGTTAACAACACCTCTTTTGTGTTGCCTTCTCAGCCAGCTAGTTTTCATCCGTTTCGAATACATCACCCCGGACTCAGCCCAGATGATCGAACTGCTTCCGAATCGGAGAAGAAGCCGGAATAGAAAGATAAAAATATTAGTTTATCCAGGGAGGGAGTTCCATACGAACACAGCCATTTTGGAACTGGAAATGTTCTAATGAAACCCTGGCAGTGGGGTCAGTCTTTTTTGACAGCATCTTGGAAAACTGCAAGGCAGAAAGCCAGCGCAGCCGTTCCTTCTGGGTAACCGGGAGTAAATGTTCAACTGTTGTAGGAAATGCCGCTTCCGTTTGGAAATACAACCGCTCATCTCCAGAAGAAACGACGCACGCTTTCTGACGCAGGGAGGTTTTTATTTCCCTCCGTACATCCGCTCGATGTCATTGAGGTAATGGTTCTTCAGCTCCTTCCTTTTCAGTTTGAAAGCATCGGTGACTAAGCCTGTCTCGGGAGTCCAGGGGTCTGGACTCAGACGCACTTTGATGGGCACTTCAAATCTTTCCAGCTTCACTGAAAAAAACAACGGAGGGTGAGGGGTGGAGGAGAAGAGAACAGAGATCTGAATTGGCAGATGGACACAACCTACAAACGTCATTCATTTATACGTGAATGCAGCAGGCCTGGGGTTTTTTTTTTTTTTTTCCTGTTCAAAAAGGGTTTTTTAAGCCACAAAGAAGAGGGGGGTCAACCTATTCTCCAAAGCACCTGAAGGCAGGACAAGAAGCGATGAAGGGAAACTAATCAAGGAGAGAAGCAATCTTGAACCACGGGAGACATTTTCAAATGGTGAAATCAATGAACCAACGGAACAACCTGCCTCCAGAAGTTGTGAATGCTCCAACCCTGGAGGTTTTTAAGAAGAGTTTGGACAACCATTTCTCTGAGCAGGGGGGCTGGACTAGAAGACCTCCAAGGTCCCTTCCGACTCTGTTCTTCTGTCTAATTTGACAGGAGCATTCTGCAGGACCCCTACTGGCTAGACCAGTGGTTCTCAACCTGTGGGTCGCGACCCCATTTGGGGTCGAACGACCATTTTACGGGGGTCGCCAAACAACGCAGTCCGCCATTTTTTACCCCCCTTTTCCTTAGCTGTGCTACTCCCTTTTATTCTATTGGCTTTTGAAAGCCAATGGAATAGACTCTCTTGAATAGAGTCTAATTCTATTGGCTTTCAAAAGCCAATAGGAATTGTCCAGGCTGTCTCTGCCCTGCTGAGCCCGCCAAAAGTCCCATTCTGCAAACGGTGCTGCACCAGTTGAGTAGTCCTCGACTTACGACCGGTTGAGTAGTCCTCGACTTACGGTTGGGGGCCGCGGCATTAAAAAGGTTGAGAACCACTGGGCTAGACCATCCACATCTCCCTTGGAAAGGACGACTTAAAACCTCCAGAGTCCAGAACTCTATGATTACCATTCACTGCCAGATGGGCAGGGAGAGTGAGCCTCTGAGACTTACATTCTGAAGAGTCTCGCTTTTCTGTTACAGGGACTCCCCAACTTACAATCATTCGTTTAGTGACCGCTCGAAGTTACAATGGTGACTTACGACTCGGTCCTCATACTTCCGACCATCGGGGCATCCCTGTGGTCCCACGATCGCCATTCAGGCGTTTGGCAACCATCACGCCCTTACGACAGCTGCAATGTCCCGAGGTCACGTGATCACCATTTGCAAGCAGAACCAATGGTGAAGATCGCAGGCTCAGCCGAGCGATATCTCGCTTCGTGTTCACAGAAAAAAGGTCCTAAAATTGGGGGTGGGGGTCATGTGATGCCTCACTTAACAACTGCACCGCTCAATGACAAAAAAACTTTTTGGTCCCTACTGTAGTCGTAAGTTGAGGAGTAACTGCATTTCTAGGCACACTTCCTCCACTACTGAAGCCTACTAGACATCTTCTAGCCAGAAAACATTTCAAATAAAGATATAAGGCAGGGGTCCTCAAACCTGGCCACTTTAAGGCTTGTGGACTTCAAACAAGTCATGGGCTGGCTGGCTGGGGAATTCTGGGAGTTGAAGTCCACAAGTCTTAAAAGGGGCCAGGTGTGAGGACCCCTGACAGAAGGCTATTTGTATGCCTGGCAGAGATGTCACACCAAAACAACATGCAGGCTCCAGATCAAGTGAGTGCCGATGACGTCACCTAGTTTGGGTAATGAAAGGTCTGCAGGAAAACAGCCCAGCTTGGAGAGCACGGCGGACCCCCTCACACTTCATAGCTAAATACAGGCAGTCCTCGACTTACAGCCGCAATGGAGCCCTCACTGTTGCTAAGTGAGACAGTTGTTAAATGAATTGGGCCCCGTTTTATGTTCTTTCTTGCCACAGTTGTTAAGGGAATCACTCGGCGGTTGTTCAGTTGGCAACACGCTTGTTAGTGTGAATCTGGCTTCTTCACTGACTTTGCTTGTCGGAAGGGGATCCCGGGAGTCTGGGACCCTGCAACCGTCATAAATGTGAGTCAGTTGCCCAGCCCTCTGAATTTTGATCACGTGACCCTGGGGAGGCTTGCAACGGTTGTAAGTGCGAAAAACGGGCAATCGCTTTTTTCCTAAGGACGTCGTCACCTTAAACCGTCGCTAAGTGAACTGTTGCTCGTTGAGGACTACCTGCAGGTTAATAAGAGACCTTGTGCTCTCAGTGTTTTCCCAAAAGGATTCTTCCCGATGGCCAGCAGATGGCCGAACAAGAACAAATGTAGCTTCACAAGACCGTTTCCTATGGGGGGGGGGGGGGAGAAACACTTCCCTGAATCTGCTCTGGATTGCCTGCCTTTGAGTCTTCAATACATGGCAAATATTTCCTTAACACTTGGGGAGGGGGTGGGGGCTTAAATTGGTCAGAATCTTTTTTTTTTGCGTTATTGAAAAAAAAAAAATCTGACGATTTCTGATAGTCTTGTCTCCTTTCCGTTCACAGTTCCAGGCTTTCTACGGAGGTCACGTATGAAGAAGCTCAGTTAGCTTGCTGAATGAAGCTAAGGTACACAGCTTAATAATAATAGTAACATTGGAAGGGACCTTGGAGGTCATCTAGTCCAGCCCCCTTGCTCAGGCAGGAAACCCGACACCATTTCGGACAAAGGGCTGTCCAGTCTCTTCTTAAAGACCTCCAGTGTTGGAGCATTCACAGCTTCTGGAGGCAGGTTGTTCCACTGGTTAATTGTTCCGACTGTCAGGAAGTTTCTCCTTAGTTCTAGGTTGCTTCTCTCTTTGAATAGTTTCCATCTGTTGCTTCTTGTCCTGCCTTCAGGGGCTTCGGAGAATAGCTTGACTCCCTCTTCTTTGGGGCAGCCCCTGAGATATTGGAACACTGCTATCATGTCAGGCCCAGATGCTACAGCAGTATTTCCAAACCTTGGCTATTCCTAAGAGGTGGGGGGGGGACTTCAGCTCCCTAGATTCCCAGCCAGCTTGGCAATTCTGAGGCCGAGAAACGCTGTGCTATGGCCTACCATCCCATACAAAGCAGGCTGGGCCATGTGCAGTTAATCTTTTCAAAGGCCATTACAAGAGGGCCTGTCCTGCTTTCTAAGGGAATTGGAACGCTGGAGCGACAGGGGACTGATGTGGTATGTAAGAGCCAAGATCTTGTGCATTGAACCTGGTTTTTTTTTTTCCTCCTCTTCATTTGGGGATCAGGAGGACTTGCTTTGTTGTAAAATTATACTGAAACTGTTTTAGGGCTTCTCACTGAGTTTTTATGGGTCTCCTGCTTCAAAGCAACAAGGCTCTACCCCGTCAATTTTAGCAACCGCAGTAGTGCAAAAGGAGAGGCGGTTGGAAATTGCACGGGGCAGTCATAGCTTTATCCCTCTTATAAAGTAACAGGAAGCACAGCCTGATTGTCCCCCTTGAAAGAGTAATTAGATAAATATTTGGAATTAGAATTGTTAGTCATTTGTCAGGCACGAACGACCAGGCCACACGTGCAAAGTATGAACCAACTACTTATGTTCTGCCTATAATGCAGGAATCTCCCCAGTCTAGCAGCCTTTTCTTGGAGACAATTAGACAAGACTGCAAGAAATTCAGGGAGGGTTGGTTTTACTGTTGCGCAGAGATTCCAGACTAGCTCCAATTGATCCCTCCTCTCTGCCAGGCTTGGGTGCTTCCCAACTTCAATTCCACTGGGTTTGCAATTTTTAAAATTGCTCGCTTTTCCAGACAACATAGAGTGGAATACAGCGGTCGTTCACATCCGGCACTTCTAATCTAACCATACCGGTCTTGGCTCAACACTGTGTACAAAGAATGCTTGTGTTGATTAACAAAATTAATCAACATTTTCATGTAGCTTAAAGGGAACTGCAGTAGGAGGAGACTTGATAGAACAGTCTTGTGCAAGAACTATTTCCGAAACTGAAGTGGGCTAAATAAATACAGACTGATTTCTATGTCTCCGTCTTTGGGAAGCAAGAAATGTTGAAAATGGACGAGAAAGTAGTCTGGGCAGTGGAATTATGAAATTTTGAATTCTCTTATTTGGGTGTCCACAGGGGATAATTGACATGGGTTGTAGTGTTTTGGTACACACTCTGTGATATATGTATGGGAGGCCTTCATATAAGGTGTACTGACATGATGTCACTGCTCATGGGAATGCAATCTCAGTGTGCTGCAGATATCCATGATTCCATTGAACTTTCCCTATTTTTAAAGGGAAAAGGAATGGAGCAGGATTTTTGGAATGACAGCTATCACCACGTGGTCAAAACCCACCCAGGATGAAACTTTGATCAAGTGCCTTCAGCCACCTTTTTGACAATTATTCTTGCCTTACAGATACTCTTAGGGAGACTGAAAAAAAGGGGGAAAATGCAGTGAAAGGGAACTGGCTTGCAAAAGCTCTTAACAATTTCTGTTATCATTAGTAAGATACTGATGATACTCGAGCAGAGTATCTGTTGCAGATAAGATTGTGAGTTGCAACCACTCTACGGTTCAAAAAAACATCTTCATTTGCTTACTTTTGTTAGCCGTGTCTTTAATCTCTTTCAGAACTTCTGATTCCATGACAGGATTGTTACAGATGTTGATCCAGCTGTCAGACATACCCCTCTGTTCAGCAAGTGCCGTTAGTTTCTTCTGATTGGGAACCACAAAACTGATAACATAAGACTGGTTGCTAGATTGAAACACAAGAAAACACTATTTAGTTTTTAGTGACATTTGACTAAGCAAAATGTTTTACCCTGAAATTTACTCTAGCCCAACCTTTTTCAACTGGGGTTCTGTAAGAAATTGTGTTTAGAGGGGGGAAAAAAATTTTTTTTTTTTTGAACTTCACATGCTATGTAATGCTAGTTGTAGATGTAACTTTTATGCAGAGGTTCCCAGAGACCTGAAAATTATTTCAATTTATTTTCTTCAAAACAAAAACAGAAATTGAGAAAGGTTGCTCCAACCATGTTCTCACAGTGGCCAACCTACTACCCCCCCCCGCCCCTTCCCCCCCTGGTCTCCCAGCAGGTGGATTTCAGAAGCTGATCCCCAGGACTTCCATAAAACCAGCCAAGCCGATAGCCAGCTCCACATTATGGTTACTCATCAGCTCTGTGTGTGTTTATGGATGGATGGATAGATAAGATAGATAGGATAGATGGATGGATGGACAGAAAGAGAGACAGACAATAAAAGGTGAGGAGAAATCAAAATAATACTTTTGCACTTGTGCAGTGTGTGAATATTTAAGCCTAGAAGGATTGCAGCCACATGTGTCTCTCCCTGTGACCCTCAAAGGGTTTCTGAATGAAATGCCAAGCATCCTTTACTATGGCTGGATTACTGAGGTGCAGCTTACAGTTCAGCACCATCTGAAGGCTGGTCAGCTCCCTCACTCAAGATATAGGGCAGTGATGGCGAACCTTTTAGAGACCGAGTGCACAAACTGCAACCCAAAACTCACTTACGCATCGTCAAGTGCTGGGTAGGTGTGGCCCATTGGCTGGGTGTGGCCAATTGGGTGGGCGTGACCCATTGGGTGGGCGTGGCTGCAGTAGTAACAGCAGACTGGGTGGGACTAAAAAGTTCAATCAATCAATTCCAACTTTGCAAGATCTTTTTTTTTTCTCGCAAGAAGTTGAAATTGACTGATTGATTGAACCTTTTTTTTTTTTTTTTGCACACGGCGGCGGAGGCCTAAAGCGAAAAGGTTTTATAAAACCCAGTTGAAGGCCTAGGATTGGGGTGACAGTGCACGTGCCCACAGAGAGGGCTCTGAGTGCCACCTGTGGCACCCGTTTAGGTTCGCCACCACGTATATAAGGCAAGGGTCTTCAAACTTGGCCCTTTTATGACTTGTGGACTTCAACTGCCAGAATTCCTCAGCCAGGCACACGTGCCTGGCTGAGGAATTCTAGGAGTTGAAGTCCACAAGTCATAAAAGGGCCAAGTTTGAAGACCCCTGATATAGGGCAACTTTCTCTTAGCTACTTTATAGCACCTAATGCTTCCCAACCTGACCGAGATACAGGAACTTCAACTCCCAGAATCCCTCAGCTGCGGAGGTTGGGAAGCACTGAGTTATGTGCGTCACACCTGCTGGGATGGACCTGAATCCTGCTGGAACAACGGTGTTGGAAATCCTGCTGGAGCAATGGTGTTGGAAAGTAGAGTGCGAGATTTTTAGTTTCCAACCTGTTCGATGTAAGTTGATGGGGTTTTTTTTATATATAAAAAAAAATCACACGAACTTGTATGAAAGATCACATATATGTAAACTCACCTTTTCGCATATGCACAAATATTGTCAATCAGGGGACAGTTTTTCAAGGCTGCCTCCACTTTGCCAAGAGAGACGTACTCTCCGGCTTGCAACTTCACCAAGTCTTTTTTACGATCTGGAGAAACAACCAAACACAGTTGAAGATGGGGGACAGGCAGCAAAGGCTGTAAAAAGCTCCTCCAAAAGTAAGAGCTTTCTTTTATTTTTATTTTAACTTTTTAACACTGCATTTCAACCTACTTTTAATCCATTTTAATCTATTTTAACCCCTTTTTAAATACGTTTTAACCCTCGTTTGACGTTTTATAATAGTCAAAGACTTTTATAAAGCATATATACTGGAGATATATAATGTTTTACCTATATTTTAACAACTCTGCAAGCCAGGATTACCAAGAATGGGGAAAAGGAGAAAGAGACAGTGTGTTCACTTGGCAGCACAGAGTGCTTCCAAGCCACTGAAGCAGCAGAAAATAGAAGATTTTGCTGCAAGCAGACAGTCTGCTCCAGTAAGTAACTCATCTGTATGTGGCTCATTGGAATGGGATTTACAAATTGAACTTGAAAGCAAACAGCACAGAGAACTTCTGTTTCTCTCGCAGAAAATAGCTCCCCTCCCTGGAATACAGCACCCGCTTTTCCTGCACAAGGTGGGATAGTAACAAACTTAGTAAGAGAGGGAACGCCCCCTTCCCTCAGAAGGAACCCTCAGCGGAGCCAGAGACTGGGCGGTGACAAGCCAGCATTCCCCAGACATTCTTATTTTACAAACCACGATGCCAAGTTCTCACGCAAAACCAATTGCTGAGATGACATCTTTTGCCTTTGCGAATGTACGTTACAAAAAGGGAAGACCGTTACGCGAACAAGGCAACTGTTTTAGATGGCTGTTGGGTGTATAATTCATGGCATGCTTGGAAGAGCTTACTAATATAAAAACAGGGCCAGGTTTCTTTCTGGAGCAAACCAGGTATCGTGCCCACCTATGATTTGCAGGCACCCGTCAGAATGAAATTCTCCAATGTCTCCAGTACAGAACCACCTCTGGCCATTGTTATCGACAATGAAATCTTCAGCTGTTTTCTCATCATTTCTGAAGTACCCCATGGAGACATTGGGCCCTCCAATTATAATCTCCCCCCTAGGGTGTGGTAAGTCTCTTGTTGTGTAGCCTCCTGGAAAAAAAAAAAGCAGAAAGAACAAACTGGTGGCTACGTGATTCCTTTAAATCAGACCAAAATGGTCAACAAGAAAGAAAGGCAGGATAATGCTGATTAATTATGTTAGGTCACTAAATTCATACGGGCAGTAAAATGCAACGATGCATTAGGTCCAGCCAGGATCACAAAGTTTTGGGACTCAAAAGCCTTTGGATCGAGAACAGGTGCGTCCAACTTTGGCAATTTTAAGACTTGTGGACTTCAACTCCCTAGCCAGCATGGGGCTGGAAGCAAGCATGGGAGTTGGAAGTCCACAAGTCTTAAAGTTGCCATGGTTGAAATACCTCTGATCTACAATATGCATTAGGTACGTATGGGACACAAACGATTCTAACTTATTCAAGTTGATTCAGGGATAAATCCCACTACATTTAGTGGGCTTTTCCCCAGAGTCAAGCAAATACAGGATCGCCGCTTCTCTCAGGGGATTGATGCAATTTATTAGGAAATAGATTCATCTAATAGATCACAAGGCTTTTTCAGTATTGGCAACTTTACACGGTGTGGACTTCAACTCCCAGACTTCCCCTGCTGCCTGAGTTATTTTGGGAGTTGAAGTCCACCCATCGTCAAGTTGCCAGTGTTGAAAAACACTGGTTGAACAAAAAAACAAGTTCAATGTATCTATAGCCATCAGCCTCTTAAGCCAAAGGATTTAAAAGGTTCATGATTTTCTATGGGGAGGTCACCCTGGATATGATTCATCTCACAAGTACACCACAAGGGGAAAAGAATTTCAGAACTGGCAGATCCTGGACCAAAAGTAATCATATTTCCCAGAGGGAGCTGTTTTTTCTACCCCCAAAATAAAAATGGCTGGAGGTGGGTCAAAAGTCTTGAGAAAAACCTAGAGATGGAATAATTTTCCAAGAGACATATATTTATCTAGTTTGTCAAGGGCATGATACATACTCATTATTTTCAATCTAGTTAATTTCTGTAAAAGTTGTACCTTTATACCACTTTGACCAATATTTTGAGAGAAGAAAACATTTTCTGTGAAACGCAAATACTTTGTTTTTATCATGCTTCCAACTTAAATAGTGAAAAATATTAATGCCAAAGCAACTTAGAGATTTATATTAAAATATGGTTTACAGATTCTTTTGTTCACTGCAGAATTTGCATTTATAGGAAGCAATTGTATCTATAATGGTTTATATGTGCATTTATGTCCATTATTTTTAAATGCTTCCTAAAATTGTACTTTAAACCAATCTCTCTTGAGTAACAGCACGGTCACTGTTCTTATGTAGGAGCATTGTAAACTATATTTGATATAGAGGGATTTAAGAGACAAAAATTATAGTTTTAAACATCACTTCTCTGAAATGGTATAGGGTTTCCTGCCTGAGCAGGGGGTTGGACTAGATGACCTCCAAGATCCCTCCCAACTTTTATTATTATCATTATCATTATTGGCTTTCATGTGTCTGAAATGGCATAGGGTCTCCTGCTTGAGCAGGGGGTTGGACTAGAAGACCTCCAAGGTCCCTTCCAACTCTGATAATCTACTCCTATTTCAGCCAAGGAAACAGATTAAAGCAGTGGTGGCGAACCTATGGCACGGGTGCCAGAGGTGGCACTCAGAGCCCTCTCTGCGGGCACGCGCGCCATCACCCCAGTCCTAGGCCTTCAGCTGGGTTTTATAAAACCTTTTCACTTTAGGCCTCCGCTGCCATGTGCAAAAAAAAAAAAAAAAAGTTTGATCAATCAGTCAATTTCAACTTCTCGCGGGAAAAAAGAAGATCTTGCAAAGTTGGAATTGATTGATGGAACTTTTTAGTCCCACCCAGTCTGCCATTACCACCGCAGCCACGCCTACCCAATGGGCCACACCCCCAACTGGCCACACCCAGCCAATGGGCCATGCCCACCCGGCACCCGACGACGCACAAGCGGGTTTTGGGTTGCAGTTTGGGCACTCGGTCTCTAAAAGGTTCACCATCGCTGGATTAAAGTCTATTAGAATAATGGGATTTTCTCACCTTCTTTCCAGTCCCTGAGTTTAATCTCGCAGCAGATAAGAGGAGCCCCTACTCTCCCGGTACTGTAGTCAGTTACTAGGGAGAAAACATCAAGAAACAAGGAGTGAGACAGGAACAAAACTGTAAGGGAAGAGCAAGCAGAGCTGAGGGCAGAGTTAAACACGTCATCAGCTTAGAGCAGGGGTCTTCAAACTTGGCCAGGCATAAAAGGGCCAAGTTTGAAGACCCCTAGCTTAGAGTTATTAGGTGGCCACAAACGCTGACCCTTATTTGGCACCAATTTAGTATTAAAAGTTTAGATTTTTCTGTCTCGGCTTGAGCGATAAATCTTGAACTGCAACTTAATGTATGGTCCAGATCCTTTGCAGGCTAAATTAAGGTCAGGCACAAAAGATCAGGGCCATGCATCAAGTTGCAGTTCAGAAAATTTATCACTCAAGGAATCTGGTCAAGTAAAGTTCAGATCTGAATCGGTGCCAGATAAGGGTCAATGGAATTTAAGGGGGTGTGTGTGTTTGAACCTGGACTGTTTTTGGCAACGTAATGACTCTGAGCTGATGAGATGCTTAACTCCACGCCCCCAGCTTTGCCTACTCTTCTATACAAATGCTTTTCAAGTTCTTTTAATTTAAGTGCAGGGTAGATTAAACACAGCACTGCAGGCTGTTTTCCAAGGGCTCCACAGAAAACACCTTTACAATGAAAAAAGCTAACCATACATCCTTACCTTCAGTAATGGTGCCTGCGCCACAGGTTTCCGTCAGGCCGTAGCCTTGGCCAACAGGGCAGCAGAAGCAGATGTTCATGAATCTCTGTGTTTGAGGTGAGAGAGGGGCTCCTCCAGAAAGCATCATACGTACGTTCCCTCCCAACAGGGCCTTCACTTTTTTAAACAGCAGTCTTAAAGGAGAAGAATGCCACAATGATATAATGAAAGGGCACAATAAGAGGATTTATAAACAGCTGTTACATGATTCTCTATGGGCCCCTCCATGGCAGACCCATTAATCCACCCGTTGTGAATTCGGCCCAATGTTACAGGTCTGACTGCCTTTCTGCTCTGTTCAGAAGTGAACAGGAACCAGGTTTTTCAATCTGCAGGCCCCGGACTGAGTTGAAGTTGCAACTGATTCATTGAAATGACTAAACCCTCCCCAAAATGATAGATATGGCTATCCTTCGGACCAGAGAAGTCTACTTCCAATCTGATTGTGTACAAGCCAGGGTGATTTCAACATATTCATCGGAGGTTCCCCGGAAGTTCAGGGAATTTTTAAAGGATAAGATATTCTGCATTCGCCCAAGGCTTTGTTGAGGGGCAAAATTCCAAGATAAACCTGAGACCCTCCAGATAACCTGGACTGCAACTTTCAGAATCCCCACGTGGCCTGGTAATTGACCAGGAATTCTGGGAGCTGGTGCTTAATATATTAACAGCAGCAGTCTGGCAAAGGTTACCTTAGAAAACCCCCTAAAATAAATGATCTCACTGTAGCAATTTAAAAAGCAGTTCAACAACCTACACTTAAGAACCATGGATTTCCATGATGAATGAATGTACCCCTGAAGGGAAGGTTAGGATTTAGACAAAGTTTGTCCAACTGGTTGAACCAGGTTTTTTTCCCCCTCAAATTTAATCCTCAGTTGTGTCTGCAACAAATACATCAAAATACATCAACTGTACTTACAAGTTACACAGAGGTGCATCGTAACCTCTTTTGATTTGTTCCAATTTGTAGTCATACCCTATCTTGAACAAAGTTTTCTGGAAATAGTTCATCTCCTGGACTTTACTCATAACGTTCTTATAAATTCGATCCATGATTTCCTACAAACAATTTCAAGGAAACAGCTAAGAAACATTTTATTCCTGAACTGGTTTAGACCAGGCCAGACCAGTGACAAGGATAACAGGAAAGAGCAATTCATTCCATTTTAAACAGCTATTTCCTTAGTTGTATAATCCTTAATATGTAATCAGGCTAATCTATTGGCAGTCCATTTTAGCTGGGGGTTATTTGCGTAGGCACTCGGCGGAAAGCAATGGAAATATTGAATACCCTCTCCTTTTGAGCTGTTTTAATGAGGAGCTGTCAGAATAAAAAATAAATCTGTGGCCATACTTAATCAGCAGAATGAAGATCTGACGCTACTTTCAATTTATGCCAAAGTTACATATAGATTATGTATGGATGATTATAATGTAGTATGGCCATCTTTATTGAAACTGTTGTATAAAGTGTTCTGCCCACGTATGAGAAACTCTTGTTTTTGCTTATTTCTTTTCTATTTAATTAAACAAATAAAAGCTATTTTAGAAAATGATTGTGAATGTTTGATTTCCCCCCCCCCCATCATGTGAGAAAAAGGGTGGCAGGAATTTACCACATGAGTCAAAAATCTGGGGATCTCAGGATAAAACTGAGATAATCTAAAGATCTGTTGTCTTGCCAGATTATATGCTAGATTTCACCCACCCACCCACCCACCCACCAATAAATTAAATTTTTTTCAGGCAATTGCATTTTATCTAACTACTGGATACACTTAATAGGGTTTGCTGAGGGAAGATGTACAAAAAGAAGGACAGATTTCCAAAATATGTATACTGAAACATGAGCACTGGCAGCTGTTTCAAGCAAACAAAGCTGTAGATATAGGCATATCTGCAACTGGTTTTATAAAGATCCGAGATATAGAGGTTTGGTTTTTTTTTTTAGACTTGTGAGGTTAAGATGGGTGATCTATATAAACCAATTGGGAAAAATAAAGTTACTGTACTTTTTGAAGTTTAAAATTTAACATTTAAACCATTTTTAATAAACGTTCGGTGTGAAATACACAGAGTTTCACAAGTATCTCATCCTTACTGGTACTTACTGGCACAGCTGCCATCAAAGTGGGCTTCAGAACAGTGCAGTCTCCTTTGCTTCCCTTTTTAATTTTGCTTGACTGAAAGAAGGGGTAAAAAAGCGAGAACCTCATTTTAATTTCAATTATTTTCAGAGAAGAATAAAACCGTGGAAAGATGCTTTAGGGCAGTGTTTCTCAAACCTTGACAATTTTAAGGCATGTGGACGTCAACTCCCAGAATTCCACAGCCAGCACTGCTGGCTGTGGAATTCTGGGAGTTGACGTCCACATGCCTTAAAATTGTCAAGGTTGAGAAACACTGCTTTAGGGTGTTGAATTTTGCAAACTGAAATAATAAAGAATGAAGGAATGAAAGGTAGAATATTTGTCCTATTTTATTGCCTGAGGGCCAAAGAGCAGATCAGATTTTAAAGCTGAGGAAAAAAAACAGAAAACTTGTCATCGAGAAAATACTTCAGGAGTGTATTCTTAAGATGTCCTTATTTGTGAACATCACTTGGGCTCAGATTACTGTAGTGGCAAGCTTAAGACTACTTCTCATTGTAAGGCTATACAATAATATTTTAATCTGTGTAGTTTTTAACGTTTTAATGTTTTAATAACTTTTTTACTTGTCTTATAACTTTGAAGCTGGGCAGAGTCACCTTGTAGGGGATAAAAAAATTGATGAATAAATAAACACACAAAGTTCTGTCCAATGTTTGGCATTAACTGAACACTTTTCCTCCTCAACAATTTACAAAGCAGCTCCATCCATTGGCTTACCTGGTCTGACAGGGTGAGTGGAGAGGAATAGCCAATCCTGCAGCCGTAGGTAATACAGGAAATTTCTGCCGTCAGTTCTAATACATGAGCTAAAGGCAAGTAGCCAATATACGTGTCGTTGGGTCTAAGGGAGAGAATGTAAATTGTTTCAATACGGCAGTCAGGATATCTTGGTCTAAATCAGTGGTTCTCAACCATTTTAATGCCACGACCCCCAACTGGTCGTAAGTCGAAGACTACTCAACCGGTCGTAAGTCAAGGACTACTCAACTGGTGCAGCACCGTTTGCAGAATGGGACTTTTGGCGGGCTCAGCAGGGCAGAGACAGCCTGGACAATTCCTATTGGCTTTTGAAAGCCAATAGAATTAGACTCTATTCAAGAGAGTCTATTCTATTGGCTTTCAAAAGCCAATAGAATAAAAGGGAGTAGCACAGCTAAGGAAAAGGGGAAAAAAATGGCAGACTGCGTTGTTTGGCGACCCCCGTGAAATGGTCGTTCGACCCCAAATGGGGTCGCGACCCACAGGTTGAGAACCACTGGTCTAAATAAACACAGAACATGGTTTGGGTTTTTGTCTCTTAACCGGGCAGTGATGAATCCTTGTAGTCTAATGCAGGGGACCTCCAACCTTGGCAACTTTACGACTTGTGGACTTCAATTCCCAGAATTCCTCAGCCAGCCTAGTTGAGACTGAGGAATTCTGGGAGTTGAAGTCCACAAGTCACAAAGTTGCCAAGGTTGGAAGTCTAATGTAGACCCCTGGTCTAATGTACATTCAGGCTGATAAAACGTCACCTCAGACTGACTGAGTTAGAATGCAGCTTCAGCTAAATTGAGTGGCCTCCAGAGGTAAGGATCTCAACTTGCTCATGGTAGGTAGAGAATTCTGGGAGCTGACATCCACACAGCTGGAGAACTACCAGACTGGAGAAGCCTGCTTTAGTAGATCTTATACCCAGCGGTGGGATTCAAATAGATGAACAACTGGTTCTCTGTGTGGGATGCTGCTTCCGGAAGTCCATTCTGAGCCTGAAGTGGAGAGAACCGGCTGAATCCCACCACTGCTTATACCTGTCCTTTCTAGTTACTATGGTGCTTACATAAATGTTACCTTCTACACAGAATGGACTTGCTGAGTGCTTATCCTGCAGTCTTTTTGTCTCCCAGATACTTGAGATACCTTGCTATTATGACATGTTATTCTATTGCCAGGCTTTACTATGATTCGTTATCATCCCTAATGCTCATTTTATTTTTTTTGTTGGGCTTTTAAACTTCGATAGATTATACGTTAAACAATTCTGTACAATGCTTAAAGACTTGAAGTTAGCAGGTAATCCAGAAATAAGTTGTGCGCAAACATACTAATTCGCCCCAGCCTCCAAGTGGTGGCAGTCAAGAAGAACGTCAGTGCTTTTTCTGCTTGACTTTTGGACAGCTGACAGGCCTAAGTAAATCTTGAAAGGCCACTGTGGACTTGGTTGAATTGAACAATAAAAGCAGAGTACAGCTCTGAAGCATTTGTTCCACTCCTTGGGCAGTGTAACTGCATATTTCTGCTTCGCTTGCAGCAGCAGAAACACAGGACTTATCTTTACCCCTCTAAAGATTAACCTTATTGTTTTTATTGTTCAATTAGTGGAAAACAATCTAGGGAAGCAAATTATCAAGAAGAGCATAAGCTATAATGTTTCCATTGAGATAAATCTATTTGTTTCTAATCTTGATGACTAATCTGTTTAAGTTTATAGACCAGGGGTAGGCAACCTTGGCTCTTTTATGACTCGTGGACTTCAACTGCCAGAATTCCTGAGCTAGCATGGCTCAGCTTGGAAATCTCTCCCTTTCCCCTCAGCATGGCTGGCTCAGGAATTCTGGGAGTTGAAGTCCACGAGTCATAAAAGAGCCAAGGTTGCCTACCCCTGTTATAGACCAAGGTTTAAGGTACAGGTCATTGATTAAGTTCTGAACATACTGAATATATTCTTCATAGCAATGGTGAGCACCATCATTTTTCTAACATGAGCTGGGAAGAATACAATAGTGTATTGTATAGTGCAGAGCTAGATGGTAACATGGATCAATACTAAGGCTCCAATAAAGGAGAATATTTGTAGCTCAGGATTGAAATGAGGGATCCTTGGTGCTCTCTGAGCTTGCTTGTTTCTTTGCAGATGTTTCGTTACCCAAACTAAGGAACATCATCAGCAGTGAAGTTACCTACGTTTAGGTGATGAAACATCTGCAAGAAAATATGCAAGCTCAGAGAGCACCAAGGACCCCACAGTCCTTCCCCTTCATCTCCACAAACCTCACTCCTTTCTAGCACTGAGGATATTACCTAGTTTGGTTAATGAAACGTCGGCAAGAGAACAAGCAAGCTCAGAGAGCACCAAGGAGCCCTAAATGCTAAGGCTATTGCAATTACGAGCACAAGGTCTTAATCCGGAAACACATAATTCTCCTAGTACCCGATGTTATTGTGTCCTAACCACAACCCAAGTCCATTTCCTCAAAATCTCAAAATTATGCAAGTTGGGCAAAAATCTCAAGAGGATTTGGCAATTGTACCTTCAGATCTTGCATGGGACACAATGTATGTGACGTTAGCACACCAAACCAATGGGAAAGGGAGGATTGCTGGCCTTATTATGGGTCCAACAGATTCCTGGGAACATGGCAATATCCATCCCCAATGTAATCTCTCAACATAAATAGCTGTTGCTACCAAGTATCAAGGAAGGATGATAAAAGAACTGGGCCAGCTCAAAATCTGTATCTTCATTCTGTTTGAGAGACACAAACACTCATCTGTGGCTGGAGAAGGTAGCACACAAATGGAAGATCTACCAGGGAATGGAAGGTCTCGGGTTTCTATCTGATGGACTGTCAGCTGCTATCCCAAAGGTGCTTTTTCCAAAAGGCAACTAGTCTGTCTTTTTTCTTGGAAAATGTTTTGCTTCTAATCCAAGAAGCTTCTTCAGTTTTAACTTCTAACTTCTTGATTGAGAAGTGAAATATTTTCAAAGGAAAAAAAAACAAGAAAATCCAGTTGCCTTTTGGAAAAAGCATCTTTGGGACAACCATGTGCTGGATGGTTGAGAATCTTCACAGACATGTCACCTGCTATGTCCTCTCTATTCTCAGCCCACCTGCCCTGTTAGTGGAAAGAACCGAATTATAAACAAGCGCGTGCATTTAATGGCAGGAATTGCTTACCCCAGGCCAGGTATTCGCTCACACTGTCCAGTCATTCCAGCTATCAAGTTTTTATGGACCATCATGACCCCTTTGGGCCTCCCTGTGGAACCACTGGTATACATGACTAGGGCCATGTCTGTAGGAGCAGGGCGGCAGGGAGGGATGCTGACTAGACAAAGATAAGAAGGCAAAACAGTTAGACTACAATATTGAGGAAAAAATAAAACTGAAACTATTAAAATGTTTTATGCTGTGAAAAAAACTGGTAAACTGCATAAGTGCATACAGGGGTAGGGAATAAGCCTTGTGGCCTATATTATATTAAAATGTTGACGAGGGGGGGAAATTCTGATCACTTTTGAGAAAGGGAGATGTGGGCTTAGCTAATCAAGGCACTGAAACAATGGCCGTGCGATCATGACACCATTATGTCGATTACACCATTCTGGCTTCATTCTGGCTTGTGTTGGACGGCAACTGTGATGGTGGAGAAAAATGGTTAAGATTGTTCCCTAAGTTTCTCACCTATGAAAAATCTGGAATGACAAAAGCCAAGACTTTTTTTTTTTTATTTTATTTTTTTAAAAACTGTATCTGGCACTTTTACTTCTAGTGCTAGCAAATGAGCTCATGATGTTGGCGGTGGTGATGCACCTTGTTAAGAACCCTCTAATGCCAGAAAGTCTCAAAACACAATGATTATATACTCCCTCGTGGCACAGCCTCGTGCACCATTCAAGCTGCTGATAAGATCTCTCTCTTGCTCATTGAAAGGCTAGTAGCCACAGTGGACTTTCTTTCTCAGCAGAGATTTGAGATGGAATTTCCAAAGCCACAGCTCCACGTCATAGCAGCAAAGAGACCAAGCCCTTTGGACTGGTTCAGCTCCCTTCAGCTCCAGAACAAACTTCTAGAGAAGCAAAGCTATTGTGAAGCAAGAACAAGCAGTCTTGAAGATTGTCCAAAGAGGAAAGAATTCTTATGAAGAATTAAAGATGAACTTATTCAAATGATTTAGAATGTTGCTTGTCATATAGGGGGGAAACACCCCCCCCCACACATAGCATGATTGTGGCCTACTTACAGTTTTCTGGCTTGGCTCCAAGTTCTTCCACTGCTTGCATGTTATGAATCTCCAGCCCCTTAGGATAGTCTGATTTATTGATGGTCTTATTATCCACGTAAATGATGTATTTGAGGCAGGGGATTTTTGACAGTACATTCTGAGGAACGAAAATAGTTGAGAGTTGATTGTATAAACCCAAGCAAACGTTTGCAAGGCACGACACAGGCTTGCATTTACTTCTCGTGATTGTGAAAGTCCAATGTTGTAATAATGTTTGAAGAATATATTCTTCCTATTTCTGACTATTCAATGGGGAAACCTTATTTATAGAGATTTTCTGTTTCTGTTATAGCTACAGCATTTCCAAAGCAGAGGGGTTTCATGCAAACGAAAATGGCTGGTTTTCAAAGTTTAGTACGGAAATTATAGCTGCTGGGCAAGTTATTTGTCTGTGATGATTAATTTCTGACAATTTTCTGATAATTGTTACGACCACACACCCTTTTTATAGTCTCATTGCAAATTGCCACTGACTACAGCTTTCCACTATACTCAGAGTTCAGCCTAGTAAACTTCATAATGTTAATCTTTAGTCAATACAATAGAAATACCAGTATATCAAAACAATATACTGTATGTTTCACAACAAAACACAAATATTATTTTTAAAAAAACATACCTAGTGTAGGGATTGTTTCCCTACAGATTAAATTATGTTAGGCCCTATTAGTATTCCCCAGTATCTTTTAGAAAGTCAATTTTGATCTTAGAAATTTATTTAATTTTACTCTAGTGCTGACGAAAAGATTTACCTTTAGTTTGCCTTCCAAAAGATCTAAGCTGGTGATTAAAAACGTTGCTTCAGATTCATTTAATCCATAGGTTACTGCCTCTTCTCCAAGGGTTGCGTACAATGTAACGACTATTTAAAAGGCAAGAAGTTAGTAAGCAGCTCAATAACTAATTCAGCTGAAGCAATAAATATTGCATGTTAATTTTATGTTTCTTCTATAGGTAGTTCTCAACTTACTACAGCTCACTTAGTTGAGCATTCAGAGTTACGACAGTGAAAAAAGGTGGCTTATGACCATTTTCTCACACTTACGGCTGTTGCAGTCTCCCCATGGTCACTTGATCAAAATTCGGATGCTTGGCAACTGACTCATATTTATGACGGTTGCAGCATCCCAGGGTCATGTGACCCTGTTGCAACTTTCTGACAAGCAAAGTCAAGAGGGAAGCCAGACTCACTTAACAACTGTGTTAGTAACTTAACAGCTGCAAAGATCCCCTTAACAGCCGTGGCAACAACGGTTTAAAATGGGGCAAAACTCACTTAGCAACTGTCTTAACAGAAATTATGGACTCAGTTGTGGTCGTAAGTCAAGGACTGCTTATATACCAACAATTTTAAGATGAACAACGTACTTAGAATAGAATAGAGCTGGAAGGGACCTTGGAGGTCTTCTAGTCCAGCCCCCTGCTCAAGCAGGAGAACTTATACTATCTCAGACAGGTGATTGTCTAGCCTCGTCTTAAAAATCTCCAGTGATGGAGCGCCCACAATTTCTGGGGTAAGCTGTTCCACTGGTTGATTGTCCTCACTGTCAGGAAGTTTCTCCTTAATTCCAGGTTGCTTCTCTCCTTGATCAGTTTCCAACCATTGTTTCTTGTCCTTCCCTCTGGTGCTTTGGTGAACAACCTGGCCCCCTCTGCCTTGTGGCAGCCCCTCAGATACTGGAACACTGCTATCCTGTCTCCCCTATTTCTTCTTTTCTTTAGACTAGCCAAACCCCAATTTTAAAAAGTAGGTAACTACTTTGTCGTGGCTATTATTTAAAGGCATAAAGGTTTATACCCTAATAAAGTCACTGGTCTTAAACAAATCATTTTATTATTCTATGCTGCATATATCTGAACCACAGGTATAAATGTTGCCACTAATTCAACACAGGCCCCAGTTTCTAAGACACCTTTGTGCTGGACGTTGCACTGAGGGCAAACGTAATGTAGGAGTGGCGACACCCTGCAGAGAATCAGGACTATGGCCCTTGTTGATGGAGGTGGGATGCAGCACTGATACTCACGAGGGAAGTTGTACCGGAAGCAAGACTGGGCGGCAATAAACCATTCAGCTCGAGTCTCACAGAATACGGCCACGGTGCTCTTGGGCTGCAATCCCAGCGCCACTAACCCGCTCCCAAAGCGCTTCACCTTCCGGCTGGTCTCTTCGTAGTTCAGCCATCTATAGTTTCCTAGGATTAACTGGTCAAGATTAAAACACTTGGTCAGTTAGCGTTAAAGCAAGGAGATCAAAACGAGATGACTTAAAAACAAAAAAACTAAACGGCTTAACCGCTGCTGATGTAAATCCATTTATACTGGATCAGTTTTGATTGCTGTTTAAGAAACTGACCAAGCCACTCTTGATTTCCCTGTTCTGTGAACTACTCACTTGGTTCAATAAAAGGAATCCCCTCTGAAGCATCTAAACCTCTTTATCATATAATGGCCCATTTCCAATCTATAGGATAACTGCTGCAGCAGGCGTGATTAAACGCATTGTTTCTGTATCAGCAAATTGACAATGAAAGGGCCATCCGGAATCCATGTTTTCATGATGGCCAGCGTGGAACAAACAGGAAAGAGTTTGAAAGGAAATGGGACAACTAAGATATAGTACTAGTCCTCAACATACAACCGTTCATTTAGTGACTATTCGAACTTACAGCAGCACTGAAAAAGGTGACTGTTTTTCACGCTTACCACTGTTGCACCATCCCCATGGTCAAAACTGATCAAAATTCAGACACTTGGCAACTGACTCATATTTATGACGGTGGCAGTGTCTCCTGGGGTCATGTGATCCCCTTTTGTGACCTTAATAATAATAATGGAAGGGACCTCGGAGGTCATCTAGTCCAACCCCCTACCCCAGTGGTTCTCAACCTGTGGGTCGGGACCCCATTTGGGGTCAAACGACCATTTCACGGGGGTCGCCAAACAACGCAGTCCGCCATTTTTTCCCCCTTTTTCTTAGCTGTGCTACTCCCTTTTATTCTATTGGCTTTTGAAAGCCAATAGAAGAGACTCTCTTGAATAGAGTCTAATTCTATTGGCTTTCAAAAGCCAATAGGAATTGTCCAGGCTGTCTCTGCCCTGCTGAGCCCCCAAAAGTCCCATTCTGCAAACGGTGCTGCCCCAGTTGAGTAGTCCTCGACTTACGACGGTTGAGTAGTCCTCGACTTACGACCGGTTGGGGGGGGGTCGCGGCATTAAAAAGGTTGAGAACCACTGCCCTACCCCCTTCTGACAAGCCAATTCAATAGGGAAACCAGATTCGCTTAATCACCGTGTTGCTAACTTTAAAAACTGCAGCCATTCTCTTGACGACTGCGGCAAGGTCGTAAAAGGGGGCAAAACTCACTGAACGACCATCTGACTTAGCAACAGGGATTATGGGCTCCACTGTAGTCGTACGTTGAGGACGGCCTCTACCTCCCGTTCAGAACTAATGTTAGAGCTTTGGCCTCGTCCTGTTGGAAATCAAGACATTTTATCTTTTCCCACCTCCTGAAAATCTTTTGGGGAGGATGCTTTTTCCACGGGCTCAGAAGTCGTTTACCTTTTTAAATACTTTTCCGTTTGGCTGCATTTCGTTCTCTTCGCTCAGGACTTCTCTTGTTCCAAGACAGTCTTTCTTCCCAAACTTGGTCACGGCAAGGTCAAACAGTTTGTCCAGTGTGTCCGCTCCAGGAAAGTCTATACTGGCTAGCGACTCCATATGTGAAATGGACCGATACGGACTTCCAGGACTGTCGGAGACGGCCTTAGCTTTTAAGCGTTTCGCCATAGTTTTTTTCTTCTTCACGTTTGTAAGAAAATACCAGGGTATGAATACGAGCGCACTGTACACATTGATCAAAAAATACAGGGGGAACCATACAAGGGTCCAGAGTTTTTGTTTAAGATTCATAATGGACAGCTTTCTTTTTTTAAAAAAAAAAAAAAATCTGTCACCTGTCCTTTTGGAGAATCCAAGTTTCTTAAGTTTTTTTTTTTTTCTCTCAAGAAGGAAGCAGCAGCAGAAGCAGCAGCAGGCAAAAGCAGAAACGAAGGCTTTAGGTGGTTGAAGTTTAGAAGAATCACTAAAAGGTTAGAAACGATCAGCAACAATCGGCAACAGCACCAGCAAATTATTTGAAGATCATTGGCTAATCAGAGAGCATTAGAAAAAACAAAAACAGCAATGATTTGTTAGCTTGATTGGCTTCATTTCAACAGCTGGGCCCTGAACATTGAAGGAGCTGCTCTGACATTTGTAAACAGTGTCACGGAATTTAAATCAATGCAGCGGAAGGAAGTGTATCTGTTCCACGGATCTTTGCCCCCCCTCTAAATATTTGGAAGATTTAGGTAAACATTTTGCTCTTAAAATGTCATGCTTTTAATCCAATTTAGCAATATGACCATTACATCATTAGGGTCAAAAGTCCATGGATTTCCCCCACCCACCCAAATGTAGAAGGGCTACGAAAGATGTAGTAAGGCGGTTTATGATTCTGACAAGCATTTCCTCTTTGTTCTTTATTGAGCTGTTGATTTGCAGGATTTTTTGTTATTATAAAGGAAATGATGTGTTGCAAACTGTTAATTATTACATACATTCTTTAGAAAGTTAACTTCAGCAGACTTTTTATTAATCGCCCCCTTCCAAGTCAACGTTCAAGCTAGCTCAAACTAAAAGATGGAAGTTAATAAAACGGCAGGAAGAAAAAAGCAAAGATAAGACAGGGGTTGGATTAGGAGCATTGAAATCAATGTCAATATTTAGAATTTCAATTAGATCTATTTTCAGCCCTCTGCTAATGATCAGAGGAGTTTCATGTTGCCAATATTCAGAAGAGGAAGGCCTCTGAAACAAAGGGCATGTTTTCTAGAACTTTCCCCTAAACCTGGCAATCAAATGGACAGGGGAAAAAAGGGGGAAATAAACTATTTGTCAACTGTTCCTTCAGTCTAATGCCCTCCAAAGGTTTTGGGCTGCAATTTTCATAATTCCCAAGGGCAAGGCAAAACATCTGGAGGGCACACGTGGCAGGAAGGCAGTTCCAGGGGAAAACTGTAATGATGTTGTAGCCTTCAAGCAAAGTCTAGGCAACCAGTTCCATCTTAAAAACACTTACAGGCTGTAGACTGGATCCTCCCCATCCCAATAATGGAATATGGTTCCTTTTAAACTTCTGCCAAGTATTGTGGTTCTTTACTTACTATAACTAGTTATTTTTGGTACAACAGCAGGTTCATGTATTTGGTTACAGTGCTCAAATCATTGCATTAATCATTAACACTCTATAACAGCTTCCCAGGGAAGCTGAGTGATTGGCCTTCATTGAAAACAAAGACACGAGATTGAAATCCCAGCTACCAGAACGCAATGTCATTACGGCATTCTTCATTCTGCTTAATGTAGTATTTGTCAGGTGAGAAATGGACATGTTACGTTCCAGTTATGTTGATTTATTGTTTATGTCTATACACAAGAATATAGTCAGCAGTCAACTAAATAGGAGTTAACAGAATTCAAGACTTAGACTGTTTGTGGGAACATAAGTACTCCAAGGTGATTCCTCTCTTGACTCTAGGCCCAGGATCTGCCTGTCTTTCTCCTACAGTATCTCCGTAATGCTATTTTGACATTTTTTTCCATTTTATTCAACACTCCAGAATAGTTTCCACACAAAGAACATACACATAAAAATGTTAATATTACAATCAGTGCTTGACATAACACATAACATAAAGTATAGATCAAAGCGCATAAGAGTTTCTGAAAAAAGCAAATTATGCAGGAACACAGTAATTCATAGAATCAGCTCCAAATCAGCTTCCTTTCCCCATTCATTTGGATTGATAAGAAGCAGCTCCCAGACACAGTCTCAAATTTTATTTTAAAACACCCAGTTTTCTTCATTATTTCCCCAAATTTGAAAGCACAACATATTACATTTATGTATTCTGCAAAACCAAGGCTGCCGAGTTATACGAATAATTAATAGATGAATAAGAACAGGCTCCAATTAGAAAGAAAACTGACACTCTACTTACATTACTTCCGAGAGAACACGGGTCTTCTAAACAAATTCAATCCACGCCAAAGTTGGAGAAACCGTCACTGTTTGTTTCTAGGCTAAGAAAAAGTTTTATGTAAAAATTAGTAACTTTGTCCATTAGCAAGTTAGTAACTTTCTTTCTTTCCCATCCTGTGCTGAACATTTGGAAAATGCTGTGTCAAGGCAGTTTCAAAGTTCAAAAGTGTTTCCTTCGAGTCCTTGGAGTCATTTATGGATGGGAGTTCTTTTGCAGCAGGTTAGAAGAGGTTTATAATTGTCTTTTTTCTGGAATGTTCTTCCACTCCTCCAGGACTAGAAGACCTCCAATGTCCCTTCTAGATTCTATGATTCTATAATGTTCTACCCTGGTAATAATCAAAGGATGCCAATAGTTTTGCTGAGTATCTACTCAAGAATTCCTTTCAACCATTTGCCATTCTAGACTTACCAATTAGGGTGAGGTAGCCAGTGGACACGGTTTGTTAGGCTGCCATGGAATATTTCACACACATACCAGATCAGTTATATAAATAACTTCAATCTATTATAAAAAAAGCAACACACTGGAAACCAGAAGCACAGAAAGAGAGATACATTAGTTCTTACTGCAATCTGAAATAGGACCTTATCAAGTGGCAAAACTAAAGACTTCTATTTATATCTTTATCCAAGCTTTGTTTGAGCTGAAAACAAACAACTGGGTACAAAAAAATGCCAATTTGTTATTAACGTTATTGAGCAACTGAGAATGCCCACGTACTTCTCCCCAGAACTAACCATACTAATCACAGTCCTTAGATTAGAAATGGAAGCTTCTAATCCTTGTTCAATTTCAAAGTTAACACTAAACTCAGAAGGGCAGAGTTGAAAAGTACACAGTCGTGCAGTGTGTGGCCAGCAAAGGACTAAGGTCAATCAATTAAACCAAATAAAACAGTATTTTACCTTAAAACAATGTCATGATGACATTTAACCTGACCACTCCATAAAAGAATGATAAGCTTGTATTTCTCTTCTGTCTCTCTTTCACAAACACAGAGAGACACACAATATGTAACTATTAGCATAGCTATAAGAGATTCAGCTTCAGGAAAAATGTCAGGACTACCTTGATGCTAAAATGGTATGAGAAGTTGATTGGAGGCCTAATCTAAGAGAGAAATGAGTACATGGAACTGATTAAAGAACAAAAAAGTATGCAATCAAATGGACTTATTGGTAGCATTATTGTGTTATTGTCAAGTGTTAAAGCTTTGTTTTGTCCGGATAAAACTGGTTCATGAACTATATATGTGGACTATATATATATATATATATATATATATATATATATATATATATATATATATATATATATAGTCTTTGGTTGTTCGGGTTTTCTCCCGCGTAAAATTGGAAGTGTCTTGGCGACGTTTCGACGAAGTCCCATTCGTCATCTTCAGGCTGGTGTTTTCAGCTTCGTGCTTCGAGCAGCATTCAAGAGCAGCATTGCTGCTCGAAGCACGAAGCTGAAAACACCAGCCTGAAGATGACGAATGGGACTTTGTCGAAACGTCGCCAAGACACTTCCAATTTTACGCGGGAGAAAACCCGAACCAAAGACCTACATACAAACACCCGCGAAAACCTCAGAAAACATGTGTGTGTGTGTGTGTGTGTGTGTATGTCTGCATATGTGCATGAAAAATACAAGGTGTGAATGAGAGAAGGGGAATGTGAAGGAAAAAGGTAGAAAATGACTGCATTGTGTGATTTCCCAAAGTAAAATAAGCCAGGAATTTTAGCCTTAGCAAGTTTAACTAGATCTGTCTATGTGGTTAAGAGTCTGATTCAATATAGCAGGCGCAAATTTTGATAAACCATGGATAGGAATAGACTAGAATTGGAAGAGACCTTGAAGGTCTTCTAGTCCAGCCCCCCACTCAAACAGGAGAACCTATACCATCCCAGACAGGTGAATGTCCAATCTCCTCTTGAAAATCTCCAGTGATGGAGCGCCCACGATTTCTGGTGGTAAGCTGTTCCACTGGTTGATTGTCCTCAACGTCATTGTCCTACTTGAATGCAGTTATTGCACAAACACAGCCAATATGATGGGAGAGTGAGAAAAAAAAAAGAGAGGGAGAGAGAAAATGTACTATACAGACATTCACCAACTCTCCACTTGTAAATACTGTAATGGAATAGTTACAGTCACTGATTCCTGACAAGCTAAGTTCGTTTCAGGATCCCACTGCATTTTTTCCATCTGAGTCAGCACTTTTTACTGTCTTAAGCATGTAATAAGCAGAATGTAAGCTGTCTAGACTAGAGTTTATTCACTTTTCAAAAAGGCTACAATAATATTTCTGTGCTTTATTTAACTGTGTAGTCACCCAACTAATTCCATTTCTACCATATATTAAAACCGCATGAACATGGGAAAAAAAAAAAAACCCTGAGAAGTTTCACAGTTGATTGCTAATGAAGGCCAAACTCTTCATCCTTCTTGGCTGTCTGTTGGATGGAAAGTTGAGACATTTATATTTAGCCAGTTTCCCTAGATGCAATCTTTCTCAAGTCAAGTTTTGTTTCCACTCTGGCTTTTGCTACTTTCAGGTTCAAATTGCGTTGCTCAAAATACATTTTATGGCCAAGCAATCTAAAAATATTTCTATTAACAAAATGAAACCAACCAAACAGATTGCCAATTTTCCAGAGAATAAGATTGCTGGGCATAAATATTGTTAACTGTACCTAAAGGTTTCTCTCTATTACTAAAATTAATCTATGCCCAGCTCTGTGTGTGGCTGCTGCTGTCACACCATCTGTGGGTCATGTTCTTGGGTTAAAAAGAGTGCTGAGCCAAGAATTCCATTTGTTTGAAGAATTGGCTTCATTTCTAGATGTTCTTTTACTGTGTTTAGTGCTGTAAGCTGCCAATGCGTTGGGAGTCCTCTAAATCTAATACAGGTGTTCCTCCAGTGGTGGGTTTCAAATACCTGAACAACTGGTTCTCTGCATGGATGCAGGCCTGGGCCTCTGAGGCCTAGAACGGACTTCCAGAAGTGGCATCCACGCACTTCCGGTGACCTGTTCTAGGCTGGGAGGCTTCCTCCAGGCCTCTGAGGCCTAAAACAGAGTGTGCATTCAGCCGATTCTCTGAACTTAATTACCGGTTCTACCGAACTAGTGCGAACTGGCTGAATCCCACCACTGCATTCCTCAAATTACAACGTTCCCCACCATTCCCCCACCTGATGTCAGAGCTGAGGAAGCTTCTTGGATGAGAAGCAAAACATCTTCAAAGAAAAACAAGAAAAGTCCAGTTGCCTCTTGAAAAAGCATCTTTGGGACAGCCATGATCTGGATGACGAGAATCTCCATAGTCAACTTACAGCAGTTCATTTAATGACGGTTCGAAGTTACTGCGGCACTGAAAAATTTTTTTCACTTTCACCATTTTTTCACTTACGGCCATTTTAGCACCCCCATGGTCACATGATGAAAATTCGGACGCTTGGCCACTGACTCGTATTTATGATGGTCGCAATGTCCCAGGGTCATGCGATCCCCTTTTGCAACCTTCTGACAAACAAAGTCAATGGGGAAGCCACAGTCACTTAACAACCGTGTTATTGGCAATGATTTACTTCACAATGGTGGTGAGACAGGGACAAAATTACTTAACATCTGTCTTGCTTAGCAACAGAAATCTTGGGCTTAATTGGGGTCATAAGTCAAGGAGTACCTTTAATGAAATAAAGAAAAAAGTCCTCTCTCTTGCTATATAAGTGGAGCCTCCTTCATGGCCTACAGTAGCCCTGTACTGTGTCATATTATAGCAGTGTTTCTCAACCTTGACAATTTTAAAGCATGTGGACTTCAACTCCCAGAATTCCACAGCCAGCAATGCTGGCTGTGGAATTCTGGGAGTTGAAGTCCACATGCCTTAAAATTGTCAAGGTTGAGAAACACTGTATTATAGGATCATAAGCCGAGGAATCCAGGTTGTTTTATGTTCTACCAGCACTGGGATTTTGTGAGGATTTATGAGCTGCAATCAACGCTAAATGTTTCATTGTCACGGAATCCAACCTTATTATTTGATTAATCCCTAGAGACAGGGGTTTAAAACCAATTCTGAAGGCAAAGCTATGTTTAAAACGCGGGGCTTTTTAGAAACTCATCAGAGGTCACTTTAAACCAGGAAGGTTGATACCAAATCAGGTTTCTGTGAAAATGTAGGGCAGCAAAACATAAACAACTGGCAGAAGGATCATGCTAAACTGCAGTTCCATTTTTACGAACCAGTCTCAGCCGCTGTATGAAAAAAAAAATGCAGCTAAATATTCAGAAGATGTCATAATGTCTTTGCCAGGTTGTAGCTTGCCAATATCCAGTCTGATATATCATTTTGCAAATAAAAGTACGGTGCTTCTGCACTAGGAATGGGACCACGGGACAATTTGCAACAGGACAATTCAACATAAACATGTAGTCCTTGACTTAACAACAGTTTGTCGAGTGTCCGTTTGAAGTTACAGCGGCACTGAAAAAAGTGACAGGGCCATTTTTCCTACTTAGGACCACTGCAGCATCCCCCGGATCCCGTGATCAACATTCGGATGCTTGACAACTGGTTCACATACATCTATGACACTGTTTGCAGTGTCCTGAGGGGTCACGTGATCCCCTTTTGTGAACTTCTGACAAGCAAAGTCAAGTGGAAATCCAGATTCGCTTAACAACAGTGTTACTAATTTAACAACCGCAGTGATCCACTTAACAAACGTAGCAAGAAAAGTCATAAAATGGGGCAAAACTCACCTAACAAGTTTCTCACTTAGCAACATAAATTCTGGGCTCGGTTGTGGTGGTAAGTCGAGGGCTTACCTGTACAAAAGGTAATTTAATTAATTTCCAACGGAGCCGTGGCCAATAAAAATAAAATTAAGAAAGTCAATCCAGAAATACAAGAGTTACGATAATTTCGACAAAAATGTGGCCAACAATAAAAGTAACTGAAATGATCAATACAACGTTGAATTATCCTGTGGCAAGTTGGCCATGGAGAGTTGTCCTAGACCCCATCTGC